CACCCCGGCCAACATGCACGCACTCGTAGAAACAAAAGCTAAGCCTGACGTGCGCCACAAGAAGGAGCTTCTTGGTAATTTCAGCTCAAGTGAAGCCATGAGAAACAAACAAGAAGTAACAGTCTGAGCTCCAAACCGTATCAATGAAGCTATTTTAAATAAAATGCTAAAAGCATGACCCAAACTATTTAAATATGTGTGCTGCTGTAATGCTTCTTGAATGAAATATACAACATTTTTCACAAATAATAACTGTTTGGTATCATCAAACTTGTAGCTGAAGGCTGCAGGTAACAAATAAAAGTATGAACTGAGTGTCTCACCGATGACCTTCAGAGTGTAGGGATTAGTTGACACCATATTTATTTCCCACATTCCAACTTGTTTGTTGAGCTGCAGAGTCTTGAAGTTGCCCACAGACTGTGATGTAGAGATCAGCGAACCTGATGAGTCGGTGCTTTGCTGGGATTCACCTTTAGGCAAAAGAGCTCTAGTAATCAGTTAACATGATTACATTTTAACTGTATAAACACAGATTTGATTGGCTACAGCAAGTATATTTCAAACATCAGTACACACTCAGATCAACTGATTTGTTTAGAACAAACATTTAAGAAGTTTTAAAATCGGTGACTGAATGAATAAAATGCATTTCCAGTCCAGTGATGACAGCGATTCTGTGATAAATGCTGTTTTGTTATGTTGTAGGGAACAATAGAGATGACCAATGTTGCACACATATTTTGTTGACTACAAATGAACAAAATGGCATATTGATGCTAAACTGATGCACAGAATGGTGTGATGAGTATTGTCTATGAGGAGAAAGGTAGTGGTACCTGTGGGGCTGATGACAGTGAAAGTGATGGAGCTGCCAGTGATGTAAACTCTGAGGTTTGTTACAGTTTCATCCACTATAAAAGTGAAATTATCAGCCTTTCCTGGGTTCCTGGCTGCCTGAAGAAGAGTCACCTGGGAGGGAAAGAGGTCAGAAACAACACATGAACCAGCTGAAATGTTTGAACTGACTAAACTACCGAGTGTCGACACCTTTGTGAGCGTACCAGAGAGGGGCTGGTGGACTCGGTTATGATGCTAACAGCTGCTGGAAGTTCACTCTTTGTGACTTCAATGGCCTGACCTCCTGAAGTCTGAGCCAGGTCTCTGTACAGCTGAGCGTCTGAAGCTGACAGCCGATCGGACCGTCGCCTTCTCCGCCGATTCACCGCCCCTGAGTTAGTAATGAAGAAGTTCACCTGGAGAGAGAAAAAAGATGAAAAAAAGGTTCACCAAACCAGAGAGGCCTATAGTAGCAGTTAGTGTGAGTAGAAAAACAGAAGACCATAAAACAACTTCTTTCAAAGAAGGTACAATACCATCCCCTGCTCTTTATTTCATTAAGAAAAATCTAAATGTTTGAACTAATTTGTGTCCCTGACTAATCTGTTACTCTATGAAATGTCTGAAAACAGTAGAACACATCCATCCCGGTGTCCAAGAAAACAAATGATGTTATTGATAATTTCTGATCGTTGTTGAATATTCTATTATGTACTTTCAAACTGTTAAAAAATAAATAATAAAAAAAACATTCAGTCAAGAAGCAAGTAGCCGTTACTCTTGTTTCAAAAGCTGGATTTTTCAAGAAAAATTACTCAGTTAATTAAAACTGTAGCTAGTTAATTTTGGCAAGTTTGTTTCAGCTCTACAGCGTTTGAAGCATAAATTGGTTCCTTTGCAGGTTCAGAATAACTGAACAGACCGAGGTGTGCTTCATAGAAATAATCCCATCTGTGCAGGTGAGTAATAAACAACCTACACGTCTGACTCAAGTCTGAACCAACAGTAAAACATCAAACGATGAGGAAAAAACAGAACAATATATTGAAAGTTTTCAATCATAGACATGTTTAATTAACTGGCTGAACCCCCTAAAAAAAAAAAAAGAAAAAAAGTCAGAAATGACACCATTTATCAGGGCAGAAAGTGTGAAAACAGAAAGAATCGATGGATTTTCAAATATTCTCACACCTTTTCAACTAATCATCAGTGGTATGTTGTTCTATCAGGAAGCTAAACCAGATCTGGGCTTAAAATCATGACATTGCATCAACATCACTTTATGCTACACATCTTATCTAAGAATTTGCAAAAAAACAAAAAACAAAATAAAATAAAGTAAACCATTTGCTTGAGCCAGACTTCGTTAAAAACTTAAAAAATAAAAAATAAATAAAATCTGCGATCCTGATGCAATACTAAAGCCATTAGTAACTTGGTTGCAACCAGCAGTCGCATGACAAAACTGAGGGAGTTTTCAGCTGAACTTCAGGCTTCAGAGGTAGAGGATGGAAACAAATTAAAAATGTAAGTAGTAAGATATCTGTAGCACATAGAGCATCTTTTTTTTTTTTAACACAGTGTTTCCAAGTGCTTTCTGTTTTACATTAAACTTTTGTTTTTTCTTTTTTCTTTTAATGGTTTTTGGCATTCTACCTCTGATATACTGCACAAAAGACATTTTTGACTTCTCTAGTTCTAGCCATTGTTGTGCTTGTTGTGGGATTTTTTTTTTAGAATTGAACAAAAGACAGAACTGGAGATATGGTTAGGATGTCTAAATAAAGTTTAAGCACAAAATAAGACTAAAAATATGATGTGTAAGATTTAAGCATGACCAAATAATGAGATCAGATTGTATGATGGGTAAACTGAATGTATGAATATACTGAACAAACCTGTGTAACAACCCAACCCAGTAAAATCTACAGAAGCCTGAGGCCTGTTTTCAGGCGGGAATACAACAGGCCTGACGTGTACACACTCTTCATTAGTGTATGAGCTCAAATAAGGACACCGTGGCCTTGCACGGCCTAGTAAACATGGTGCCCAGGATAGCCAAAAACCCCATCGCTGAGTGGATGGAGGGGAGCATCGTAGCTGCAAAGTCTCAACTTACACAGTGCTAAGCAAGAAATAATGCTGACTACGGGCTTTTTGATTGCTATTGAAGAAAATGGGTTGGGTTTTTCGGGGAAAGGCGGGGAGTTGGATGAGTTTGTAAATGTATATAACGACATATAACACATTGTTAGCTAGCCAAGTCTTGAGCTTTTGCTCATGTTTGTTTGTACAGCCTCTGTATTGAATAAACACTATTCATATCAGACTCTGAAGACTGTTTGAAGATATTTTCCTTCTTGTAAATCTTTCTCCAAGACCCAAAGTATTTAGATAAGAAGTGTTATTTTGGGTACCTGCTGCCTGATCATCACCAGCCCATAGCAGGCAGACTGAGTCACGACATGCTGCTTCCATAGAGGAGCAGGACTTTATATTGGAGTGAAAAATAAGCCCACTGTGGATAAAAATTGAGACTAAAACAAACTCCCAGAAGCTGTTTGGAGTTCAGAGGAGTTAAGAAATACAGTAAAAAAAACTCTTCACAGACAGATGTGTGTGGTCGCACCCACCACTGATTGCATCCTCTCTATGAGTGCGATCACGGTGCTCCTCAGGTTTCTGTCTTTAGCAGGTGCATCGGTGAAGAGGAAGATCTCAGAATTCAAAGGAGCTCCAGATAAAGCCAGCTGTGAGAGAAAGAGAACATCAAATGGCAAAGAGAGTTTTAATTGAAACTATTTACTAATCAGCAAGCTTTAGAAACAGCCACAAATCTCAGCACCTGAAGCCCAGAAAGACTCAGCTCCGGGTTGTCTCCTCCACCGGATGCTGTTAGTGTGTTAATGACATTCTTGAAAACCGTGGGGTCTGAAGTTTTTATCAGCGGTCCAAATTCTGAAGATCATTTGGGGGAAATAGGTAAGAAGTCTTTTATTATTCATCATATCGAATGTAACGAGACAAGCACATTTATACAAAACCAACCTGTATGAACCTGAACGTCCTACCTGGATCGTTGAAAGGCACCAGGATGTAAACTGAGGGCTCGTTCTCCGTTCCCACCTCACTGTTGATTATAGAGGAAGTGACGCTTTTCACTGCCTCGATGTCCTCGCGCATGCTGCTTGTGGTGTCAATGACAAAACAAAGAGCTTTACTGGATCCTCTGGAGATTCCCACCATCCTGAGGGATGAAGAGAGAAGAAACCGGTGAACCAAAGAGAACCTCAGTAAACCACCTCACAGTACTTAACTGAAACATGCAGAACTTGTTTCGTACTGCAGGAACTGTTTGTCACCAGCAGCCCCTCGAAGGTCTTCCAGCAGCTCGCTGGTTGCAGCTACGGCCATGTTCGCTGCTTCAGTGTGGAGATGTCCATGGTCGGAGCTGAACGTGTCTTTGTTGATGCCACCTTTAGGATCCAGTTTACTAGTTTGATCAACTCCTCCTCCATGACTGCACTTTCCTTTTCAGAAAAAAGTAGAAGAGAAAGATAAATAGGCCTGGAGAGGCAAGAGAGAAAAAAATCTGATTGTTTTTCATTTCGGCCACAATGGACTGCAGTGATTGTTTAGTGAACATACTTAAGCTGTGTGTCTGCTTTGATTTGCACAGACTGCAGCAGCACACACAGCTGACTCAGTACAATAAATACACAGTGAAGGCGAGGTCATGGACCATCCCTTATGTCTGTGAGAGCAGGGGGTGGAAAATGTCTCTGAGCCAGAAAACACATCAGGGAAAAGGGGAAATGAAGTGGGCAGAACAAGAGAGAGAAGTGGAAGCTAAGCTGATGGAACAGAAAGCGAATAAATTTTTACTGCTGTAGTGATTTAGCTGTCTGTATTTATTGGCCTCAAACAGCCAGTGGATGTGTATCCAGACGGAGAAAGACGGAGGATTCAAGCGTATAAAAATATCACAGATTTCATCACCATCACTGCAGAACCATTGCCATCACGATGCTAAAATGAAAGATGCAGTTAAGCTCATTTAGTCAAATTTCACTTTTGTTTATTTGACCCTCTGGGGATATCGGGGACATTTTTGTCCTCTAATATCCTCAAAGGGTAGTAAATTAAAGCATCCCCAGAGGGTTAAAATAGCTTTTCATAACACATTTGCATTGATGTATGTATGACGTGCCATTCTGTGTATGCTTTGTCATACATGATTTGCAAAATGGGGCTGCAAGGTGGTTAGCACAGTCGCCTCGCAGCTAGCAGGTCGCCGGTTTGTGTCCCGGTGAGGACACCCGGGATCTTTCTGCGTGGAGTTTGCATGTTCTCCCCATGAGGTTAATTGGTGATTCTAAATTGTCTGTAGGTGTGACTGTGAGTGTGCTTGGTTGTCTGTCTCTAAGTGTAGCCCTGTGATGGACTGGCGACCTGTCCAGGGTGTCCCCTGCCTTCACCCTGAGTCACCTTCAGCCCCCCACGACCCCAGTGAGGATTAAGTGGTGTACAGAAAATGGATGGATGGATTTGCGACGTGTTTTCTGTTAAGAAATGTGATTCTGAAATGCTGCTTAAAGGATGATGTTGTGTTTTGTCCTGTTACTACACAGCAGAGTTTGTGGATTTATCAGCTGCAGTGACAAAAGAAGTGAGTATCTTTTACTCATGTGAAAGTAGCACGACTCTACTGCGAGTTACAGTCTGTCATTCAAAATTTAGCTAAGTAGAAGCCCAGAGTTTTAGCTTCAAATCACAGTGATAGTATGAAAAGTAAAAGTGGCAATTAGCCCACAAGATGACTTCTGTCAGTGTGATATTAGGTCATTATCACGTATCCATTACTGTGAGAGCAGCTGTTCAAAATTCTGCTATCATCATTATTATTATTGTTATTATTATTTATTTTTTACAATTGTTGGGTATTTTAATCTGTAGCTATTATTCAAAAATGCATCATACTTTATAAACTGAGCATATAGTTTGTATGGAAAAACTCCCATAGCTGTCAGATGAATGTATGCGACTAAAAAGTACAATATTTGGCTTTGAAATGTAGAAGAATAGAAGAAGGAGAAAGTAAACAAATCTTGCAGCAAATCACAGAATGGAAGCCTCAGGTGAACCTCACATCTGTATGTTCACATTCTTGTATCAGAGTGAAGAAATGCTGCTGTTGGCAGACGAACAAACCTTTGGGTTTAGTTGAGACAAAAGGCACGATGCCAAAGTAGCCAGAGGTCAGGATCTGCTCCTCTATGATGTCCTCCAAGATGTTGTTGGTGCAGTCGTCTCCGTTGCAGCTGCGACAAGTCGCCCTGCTCTCGTCTGTGAAAACGTAAAACAGCATTTTAGTCGTGCTTTCTCTCTGATCACATTCATCCTTCATTCCTCATCTGCTGACACAGACGTGACATGATAGCATCTCTTTACCTGTTAGGTTTCCAATGCTGGTGTCTGATCTGATCAGATTGGGATTTGGGTATTTCTTCCCCAACTCCACCCAGTTGCTGTGGCTGTAGAAGTCCTTCATAAAAGAACAGCGTTAATAATGATCCGTTCACGTTTCTTTTTAAACTGTTAAAACAGCATTAAAACATCATGCATTTGAAAATGGTGTTACATACCTGTAAAGGATGCATGACCTCTCCCAGTTTCTTCCTCGCTGCCTCGTAATTTTCCTGCTTGTTGCTTGCTTTGATCACTTGTACTCCTTCTGCGATGATTTTCCTTCCTTGAATAAAGTTCTCCTCATCAAAGTGGAAGCTTGCATTAAGAGCGTGGCGGATGTCCACGCGTACATTCATCAGCGTGATGAACTGAATGGCTTGGCGGAAAGCCTTAGACGACTGTGGAGCGTTACAGGCGACAGCAACGTTCTCCACAGTGAAGGGTTGAGTCTGAAAACGCAGACAAAGTTAGACTATATGAACATGACTCAAAGAGATGTCCTATTTTCTAATGAAAGAACTTCACTGAAGTGGATTCTTACTGGAGAAGTGAAGTCTGTGCCCTCGGTTTGGGCCAGAGCTCGGCACGCCTGCACTGTGGCATTTAAAATGGCCCTCTCAGTAATCTCCAGGTGACTCTCAGATTTTTCTGGCAATATGCCAAAACCATGAGCTCCAGTGTGCAGGAGCAGCAGACACAACACAGCCAACCCTGAAGACATCGTTCCTCGAACCTCAAACAGTCTGAAGAGAAAAAAGCAAACACAGTTAACTTGCTGTCCTCTCAGTGGCTTATGATGCAGATTAGTTATCGGTCTCAACAACATCTGAAGGCGAGACACTACAGGCAAAATTATGCTTCATCCATGTATTGGCTCATTATGAGATTTTAGGATTTGCTTCCATAACATGTCTTCTTTTGGACTAGTGGAAGGAAAACATCCAAAACACACAATAGGACCTCATTTTACTTCATTTTCTCTACTGGATGCAAATGAGTGCATATTTAAACATAACAAGCAAACTAAACATAACGTTTCAGAAAAACTGTGACATAAAAAATAATGTAAATGATCAGCTGGGAACATTTCATGGTGACATCTGTTAGTTAAAATAGCATAAATATGGAATATTTGGAGTTTTGCAATGCATGTCTTTAAAGGCTGTTTTCTCAAAATGAGTTTTTTTCTTAAATTATACCCTGAGCCAGAAATCTCTACTTCATTAGCACATAAAGGTTTTAACAAAGGGATTCGTTCATATTTTATTCACAGCCTGATTCATACATGTTACTCCTTAAAAAAGAGCCAAAAATTGTTTTTTTCCGAGCTGTTGACAATGATCTCCGGTTTATGGAGCTATAAACAGAGAAATGAAAATCCCCATTGTATAAAAACAAATTGTTTCTAATATGTAAATAAAATGAAACAACAGTTCTAGAGCTGGATTAATCAAATATTTGAATTTCTATTCTGAAAATTACTCTATATTAAGGCATTTTTTCAAAATACATAAAATCCTTGATTTGCACATTTAAACATAACATTTCAGGGAAAAAAATGTGTAAATGTAAGTAGTGAGCTGGGGATGTTTTATATAAATGTCTGTAATGTAAAATTCTTACCTTATTTACATATAGCGCGTCTCCTCTAAACCAACAGAATCCATACAGGTCACAAATGCTGCAGGTAGGCGAGTGTTATGTTTCAACACTGCGTTTTGTTTTGTTTTTTTCTTTATGTAGCGTTGGAGCCTAAAGGCACTGCTGTGAGAAATGAGACAGACAATATAACTCTACAAACAAAATGCAATAAAGCACATTTCTATTTTAATGATCCAGAATGATCCACTTCATCCAACAAACATTTAATGTGCACAAACTCTGTTGGGTTGTCTGTTTAAATTTGTAAGGTCCATACCTTACCATGTTAAGCGTTATGTGACGACATATGTTGTAAACTGCGCTATACAAATAAAATTTAATTGAAACTCCTATATATTCTGATAAATCCTAAACTTAAACACTTTAAAAACAAACCTAAATTCAGAATTCCTTTCTTTGGTCTAATTTTAATACAATTTTCTGCATAATCAGGTGTCTTCTCTTACAGTCATTTCCTATAAGTTAAAGAGCTCCTACCGTGATGCTGTCCTGCTCAAAGAATAGTTATGGTGTCAACACCTGCACCTGTAAAAAGCACCACGTCCAGGGCGGGGTCATGCAGGACTCGTTCTACCTGTTGCTATGGAATGATTCTGCAGAGAGCCAACAAAAGGGGAATCTGGACAGATCTCATCAAGACATGAGCCCCTCTGAAAACATGACTGGAAAACATTTGAGAGGTCCCTAACATATTGACAATCTGCTGTTTGTGCCATGAATTTCTACTTTTCTGTATCGTTTATCATCATGGATCAGATGTAAAACTAGACTGTAGATTGATTGATGTGACTCCTACACCAGGATGATTCATCTTTAATTTACGGTTGTAAACATACCAGCATGCACTTACAATTAGAAAGACAAAAACAAACTTCTATGATGCCAACCGCCGAATTACAAAACAGAGCAAGATGAACAAAGTTTCCCACTGAGCTGAATCGCCATGTTTCATTTCCCTGTTGAGCTGTCAGCATACAGATATTTCAAAATGAAGACATTGCAAACTTTTGATTTTGCAAAAAAAAAATCCACGTCCATCAACTTGGAAGAACCAATTCAAACACTTCGTAAATGTTGTTTCTGAGCACAATTTCAGACACAGAAATTCAAGATGTGAAAATAGAAGAGTGATCTGACTTAGATTTCAAAGCCCCACAAACAAAAAGTTTTTGATCTGTTTTGCTTCCTTGATCTGACAAAACAGTTACCGAGGACTTGATCGATCCTTCTGCAGAAAATAAGATATTTTTACTGAACATATTTTCAGAGATAAGATACACAACTGATACAAACAGCGTCTCTCCTCACTGCTCTTCACGCATCCATGGTGCTGAACAACAAACAGCAGCAGCTACTTTTTATCGGTTTTGTTTGCTTACTCATATTATCCATATTGATGTGATTAATGATAAATAAAAGCTACATCAAGCTCTTTATAAATGTGCTGATTGTTTAAAAAGTGATAAAGTGTTTCTGTGTATCTTCTAAATGAGAAACATTAATGTAATCTTAAAATCTCTTTATTGTTAAAGGCACTACAGCACTGGAGGGTGTTGCAGCAGTGATGCTAAGAAATCAGCTGATTAGTTCCATTTCAAAATGTTCAGCATTGGTCATTACCAGGATGTCTATCAGGGGCTTTGTGGTGATTAGTCAGGATCAGCTGCTGGGGCCCTACGAGCTACTGCAGCTAACAAGTTTGTAAATGACTTTGTGTCATAGACCTGGCAGGAACTAGTTATAGATTGAACTGAACCCGCTAATAAAGGAGAAACTTACAGAAGTATGTTTTTCAGAAATCTGTGAGTAAAACAGAAACATGGCACGCCTCAGAACAAATATTACTGTACAAATAACTCCTAATTAAGTACTGCACAATATTTTTTCTACTCGTCTAAAGGCTCCTGTTGAAAGAAGAAAAGTGAATAGTGCTTTGCTGTGTTTGTTTTGTTCCTCATGACCAGTGATCAAAGCCACAATATACCTGCATGACACAGTTATCAATTTCATTTCCTTCCTCCTTGGCTACAAGTTGACCGACAGCATATTTGTAATTGTAAAAACATGATTAATATCGCGAGGCAGGACATCGTTCACAGTGAGAAATATCATCTTAAAGAAATTCAATTTACACTTGAAGTTCAGTTTCCTTGTTTCCGGGAATCAGCTGTGAAACCGGTTGAATCATGTTGTGCCAGATTTCTAAAATATAACCCTGATGATTTCATTGGCTTGGGTTACAAATTTAAAAATATTTGCAGAAAGCCGTAGTTACCAAACAATGGTTTGTGGTTTAAATGAAGACATACGATGCAGGTGTGGTCTAGTGAAACATGCTTTCGTATTGCTCACTGGAGGCTTGACTCACAGTCAGGATGTATTTACCTCTGCTGCTTTTAATCATCCCAACGGGAAATGTTGACGTATTCCACCAGAGGCTAAAAATGATCATATTCTGTGGGAAATTGTTGTCCAAAAATCATAATCAAGATAACTAATAGCTGCAAATGTGTCATTTGAGAATATTTTTACTTGAAACAAATGACTTTTGACATCGCCTAAAAATCTAGCCACACCGTTTATAAAAATGCTAAAGAAGTGCTATGATGGATGGCTGTCACATTTTAGGACTCAGTCAAATAAAAAACTACATCTGTCTACATTTAAAACAAAAGCATAACTTAATGACTGATTGACTTCAAAGGCGTCACATAAGAAGAGATGCGCAGGGTCCACATTTTACTATCCTAAAATGAAACAGCCTCTACTGATTACACCTTGTGGCAGCTGTGGCTCAGGTGGTGAGCTAAAGATTGGAAGTTTGCTCCTCCGATCTTTTTGCCAAACTATTTCGGGGCAGTACAGTGGCTCCCTGGTAGCACTGTCGTCTCAAAGAAAGTAGGTTCTGGATTTAAACCTGCTGGTAAACTGGAGCTTTTCTGTGTGAAGTTAGCATGTTGTGCATCTGTTTGGTTGTTCTATAATTGGTTAATTCTCTTTGAGTTAACCCTGCAACGGATTGACAACCTGCCCTGGGTGTACGCTAAAGCAGGTATAGCAAAGAAATGGATGGCGACAACATCTATGTGTCACAAAATGACCAAGTTTGTGTACATTCTATGACTTTTAGTATTATTGATCGTACAGAGGGCTAAATTATCGCACAAAACAAATAATTATTGCACATCTGGGAACACAGTTTGTGAGTCATCCAGCTCTACGGATGCATGCAAACACTAAGTCCCACAACGTCCCTTAAAATCTAAGAACAATTTTGTTTGGAAAAAAAACCACGTGACAAGAAAGTTAGATGAAAAGATCAACCCCACTCTAATGTCTGTCCAACTAATATCTGACTACAGGTCGTCCCTCTGAGCGATCTGCTAGAACAAGTAATAGAACAAACGTAATCACTCAAAACAGCCATGGAAGAATTCACGTGACAAAGACTTTTCTCTGCTTAGATTAAGGAAGGATTTATATATTGCACACAATGGAGAGCACATTTGCTGAAACAGTGGGCGTGGCAGGTGGTTTGCCTCAGCATCCGTGCAGCTTTAAATTCCATTTGCATTCTCTTTGTTGGGAACAGTCCTGCACTTAACTCCCCGCACCACACCTTGTTTTGGTGTTGAGTAAACAAATGAGATAAAACCATGGTTAAAAAAAAAAAAGCGACCTTCACAGGTGGATTTTGCACCACAGGACAGAGACAGACAAGCTGTTTGCAGTCCTTCTGCTAAGCTAAGCTAAGTGACTTACATTTGACAGGGTGGGATCAGTCTTCTCATCAAACTGTATTTCCAAAACTGTTGAACAAATATCACTTTCTGGATATACAGATGCCACCACATCAGGAAGAAGCTTCAGATGATGTTCTGAGTGACAACACAGACCTTTTAAATGTCTAAGAAGCAGATCTGGAGAGAGATACGGGCACCCCACCCAACTATACTTACTACCAGTAGGGTCATAGTTGGAGACGCTCCTCATCTGCCGGCATCATGTTGCAGTGACAACAATTAGACAGACACAGAACACCACATCCCCTGCAGCTCTGCAACAAACACGACACCTGAAACACAAAGACATCCCCTCTCAGAGGAGCGTCATGTTTTACGTTTCTGTGACGACCCATGGTGTTTATGTCGTCATATGTGGTGGACTTGTACCAGTTGTGTAGGAAGATGGCCTGTGAAGGTCCAGCTGAAGACGGTTCTTCAGAACCACACCTGCCAGACATCAGTGACGATTGCCCTGGAGCTCCCGACCTACTCTTAGCGTTCTTCTCCCCGCTTCCAGTCACATCTGATTGGACCACCACTCAGTTCCCTCCTCCAACACCCCAGCTATCGCCACACCTGCCTATAAAATCAACCTGCAACCTCTCAATCGGGGCTGCCTGGGATTTAATGTGTTTTCTGCTAGATAGCTTCGACACTCTGTTAGCCTTCGTTTGGTTCTTTGATTTTTAGCAACATTGTTTCATTTAATGCCATAAAAGTCAAACATCTGATTGTCAGGTTTACACTCACAGCTGAATGATAAATTCACATGAGATAGAACACAAGTTCATTAAAAAGGGAGGAATCCTCACATTCCTCTTGGACTGTCATACTTTCTCCTGGAACGTGTCTAGCTTGTGTAACATTTGTCATCTGTAGATTGTGTCTCCTCCTTGATAATCACATGTATGAATCAGTTACTGTTGTGTAAAAGAAACCGATTCATACACGTGATTGTTGTTGTCGTGTCTTTTGGGAGAGAAACTTATCTGGACACTAATCGCATCAAACACAATCGACAGATATCATGCAGGTGGGACGCAGCTTTATTAAAAAAAGAGCATGTCTGGATTCTTTTACTTCATTTCTATTGCTGACAGGTTGCACCAGAAATGTGTTTTTGCAGTAAAAGAAGCAGACAGATGATTGCACCACAGGACTGACTGAGAGAGGACAGCATCTCAAAAAGTCTTACACAGTTTTACTGTCCAATTATCAGCTTGTAATAGTAATTACACTCACCTGTACCGGAGGTGTTGC